TATTTTATCCTTAATGTATTTTGACCTTTAAACATTAAACATGAATCTGAGACTATTGACTGTGTCATGTGCCACACACGCAAAGCATCATGGGAACTAGTCCACCGCACAGAACTGGTATTGGACCATAGAGAGACCACATGGTATTGGACCATAGGGAGAGAGCACATGGTATTGGTCCATAGGGAGAGAGCACATGGTATTGGATCATAGAGAGAGCACATGGTATTGGATCATAGAGAGAGCACATGGTATTGGACCATAGGGAGAGAGCACATGGTATTGGATCATAGAGAGAGCACATGGTATTGGATCATAGAGAGAGCACATGGTATTGGACCATAGGGAGAGAGCACATGGTATTGGACCATAGGGAGAGACCACATGGTATTGGTCCATAGGGAGAGAACACATGGTATTGGTCCATAGAGAGAGCACATGGTATTGGTCCATAGGGAGAGAGCACATGGTATTGGTCCATAGAGAGAGCACATGGTATTGGTCCATAGGGAGAGAGCACATGGTATTGGACCATAGAGAGAGACCACATGGTATTGGTCCATAGAGAGACCACATGGTATTGGTCCATAGAGAGAGACCACATGGTATTGGAACATAGGGAGAGAACACATGGTATTGGTCCATAGAGAGACCACATGGTATTGGTCCATAGAGAGAACACATGGTATTGGACCATAGAGAGACCACATGGTATTGGAAGGATCGCCACAGTCCTTCTTGGTCTAACTCCTGCATCAGAGAAAAAACTCTCTCTTCCTCTTTCTGTGGATTCACTTCTTTTTCCCGTCGTCCATTTTGTCTCCGAGCGTTTCTCAGTTTGAGCCAAAACAGTCAGTTCTGCCTCAGTCACAGATGTTCAGCTCCAGGCTCAGCATCTGCTGCTCTTTTTATCAATATATTTATATATTTATGTATTTATACACACTCTACATATTTACACTGTAGAAAATGAGTCGCATAGACTTCTTACAGGGTGCAATACTGTGCAATACTGTGCCATACTGTGCAATACTGTGCCATACAGTATTGCACAGTATGGCACAGTCGCTGAGACTCGCTGAGACCCCTGTCAGACGGACTTTCAACTCACACCTCCGGGAGAGCTTCTCCCAGGTCCCGGCGGAGGAGGGGGACATGGAGTACGAGTGGACCATGTTCTCTTTCTCTATCGCCGATGCGGCGGCTCGTAGCTGTAGTCGCAAGGTCTCTGGTGCTGGTCCCGGCGGCAACCCCCGAACCCGGTGGTGGACACCGGCAGTAAGGGATGCCGTCAGGCTGAAGAAGGAGTCCTATCGAGCCATGATGGTTCGGGGGACTCCTGAGGCAGCTGTCCAGTACCGGCTGGCCAAGCGTGCCGCGGCCCGGGCTGTTGCAGAGGCAAAAACCCGGGACTGGGAGGAGTTCGGAGAGTCCATGGAGCATGACTATCGGTCGGCCTCGAAGAGATTCTGGCAAACTGTCCGGCGCCTCAGGAGGGGGAAGCAGTTCTTTGCCAACACCGTGTACGGTGCGGGGGGTGAGCTGCTGACCTCGACTGGGGATATTGTCGGGCGGTGGAAGGAATACTTTGAGGTTCTCCTCAACCCCCCGTCACGTCCTCTGTCCCGGAGGCAGAGGCTGAGGATGTTGGGGCGGATACTTCTGTCACCCTGGCAGAGGTCACCAAGGTGGTTGGCAGCCTCCTTGGTGGCAAGGCGCCGGGAGTGGATGAGATCCGTCCTGATTATCTAAAGTCTCTGGATGTTGTAGGACTGTCTTGGCTGACACGTCTCTGCAACATCGCGTGGCGATTGGGGGCGGTGCCAATGGAGTGGCAGACCGGGGTGGTGGTCCCTCTCTACAAGAAGGGGGACCGGAGGGTGTGTTCCAATTATCGTGGGATCACACTCCTCAGCCTCCCCGGTAAGGTCTACTCCAAGGTACTGGAGAGGAGGCTACGTCCGATGGTCGAATCTCGGATCCAGGAGGAGCAGTGTGGTTTTCGTCCCGGTCGCGGAACACTGGACCAGCTCTATACTCTCCATCGGATACTCGAGGGTTCATGGGAGTTCGCCCAACCTGTCCACATGTGCTTTGTGGATTTGGAGAAGGCGTTCGACCATGTTCCCCGGGGTGTCCTTTGGGGGGTCCTCCGGGAGTACGGGGTCGGGGGTCCTCTGCTGAGGGCCGTCCGGTCCCTGTATGACCGGAGCCAGAGCTGTGTTCGCATTGCCGGCAGTAAGTCAGACCTGTTCCCGGTGAATGTTTGCCTCCGCCAGGGCTGCCCTTTGTCACCGGTTCTGTTCACTGTATTCATGGACAGAATTTCTAGGCGCAGCCAAGGGTCGGAGGGGGTCCGGTTCGGGGACCACAGGATTTCATCTCTGCTGTTTGCAGACGATGTTGTCCTGTTGGCTCCAACGAACCAGGACCTGCAGCATGCACTGGGGCGGTTTGCAGCCGAGTGTGAAGCGGCTGGGATGAGAATCAGCACCTCCAAATCTGAGGCCATGGTGCTCGACCGGAAAAAGGTGCCTTGCCCTCTACAGGTGGGTGGAGAGGTCCTTCCTCAAGTGGAGGAGTTCAAGTATCTCGGGGTCTTGTTCACGAGTGAGGGAAGGATGGAGCGTGAGATTGACAGGCGGATCGGTGCAGCGTGCGCAGTTATGCGGTCGCTGTATCGGACCGTTGTGGTAAAGAGGGAGCAGCGTCTGCAGTCAGAGCTGTATCGGACCGTTGTGGTAAAGAGGGAGCTGAGCCGAAAGGCAAAGCTCTCAATTTATCGGTCAATCTTCGTCCCCTCCCTCACCTATGGTCATGAGCTTTGGGTAATGACCGAAAGAACGAGATCGCGGTCGAAATGAGCTTCCTCCGCAGAGTGGCTGCTCCCTTAGAGATAGGGTGGGGAGCTCGGTCACACGGGAGGAGCTCGGAGTAGAACCGCTGCTACTCTACGTCGAGAGGAACCAGTTGAGGTGGCTCGGGCATCTGTTCCGGATGCCTCCTGGACGCCTCCCTGGGGAGGTGTTCCGGGCACGTCCCACCGGGAGGAGGCCCCGGGGAAGACCCAGGACACGCTGGAGGGACTATGTCTCTCAGCTGGCCTGGGAACGCCTTGGGGTCCCCCCGGACGAGCCGGAGGAAGTGTGTGTGGATAGGGAAGTCTGGGCGTCTCTGCTTAGACTGCTGCCCCCGCGACCCGGCAACGGATGAAGCGGAAGAAAATGAATGGATGGAAGATCAGAATAACACCATCGTCCTGCAATACCCCCGTGCTGCCACCAGAGGGCGGGGTTTTTACAGCAACAGTTCACTTCACAGACTGATGATGTCATAGAGGCACGATGACATCATTCTGTTGGATCTTCCCGTTTGCACTTTGTAATCTAAGAGCACTTTACAAACACACTTTGTTATAAACATTTCATTGGTCTCTGCTCCTTTCGAAACCCGATGTGGTTTCTGTTTTATTTCTTGTGTTAGAACTGTTTAAATACAACGACACTTTGAATTTGACCGTTTTCAGGTTTTTAAACTAAGACAGAGGTAAATACTTTAAATGTGTGTAACTGAGACAGGAAGTGACTTAATCTGACACGATCAAAACAGTGGCTTCTGTTTTCACTTTTAATCAACTTTCTCAGACACAGAGTTAAAGGAGTCTCTGACATGTCCACTGTGTCCCAAAGACACTTTACCATCAGAGACTGAACCATGTGGAGCAGGTCGGACTGTGGAGAGACCAGCAGGGGGCAGCGCATACTATTAACAATTCCCAGAAGGCCTTGCTTGTCCTCTCACTTCCACCTCCTGTTATGGCCGCCATGATGATAGACCAGAGAGAGAGACCAGAGAGAGACCAGAGAGAGACCAGAGAGAGAGACCAGAGAGACCAGAGAGAGACCAGAGAGAGAGACCAGAGAGAGAGACCAGAGAGAGACCAGAGAGAGACCAGAGAGAGACCAGAGAGAGACCAGAGAGAGAGACCAGAGAGAGAGACCAGAGAGAGAGACCAGAGAGAGAGACCAGAGAGAGAGACCAGAGAGAGACCAGAGAGAGAGACCAGAGAGAGAGACCAGAGAGAGAGACCAGAGAGAGAGACCAGAGAGAGAGACCAGAGAGAGACCAGAGAGAGACCAGAGAGAGAGACCAGAGAGAGAGACCAGAGAGAGACCCAGAGAGAGACCAGAGAGAGAGACCAGAGAGAGACCAGAGAGAGAGACCAGAGAGAGAGACCAGAGAGAGACCAGAGAGAGAGACCAGAGAGAGAGACCAGAGAGAGACCAGAGAGAGACCAGAGAGAGACCAGAGAGAGAGACCAGAGAGAGAGACCAGAGAGAGAGACCAGAGAGAGAGACCAGAGAGAGACCAGAGAGAGACCAGAGAGAGAGACCAGAGAGAGAGACCAGAGAGAGACCAGAGAGAGACCAGAGAGAGAGACCAGAGAGAGAGACCAGAGAGAGAGACCAGAGAGAGAGACCAGAGAGAGACCAGAGACCTCCCCCTCTCTCTCTCAGAGACACTTGTTGTTTCTGTAACAATGACATCAGACGTGTCGAACCACAACATGTCAGAGTCAGGGCTTATCCTGCTCCCACAAAATACACACACACAAAACACAAAACAAAACACACACACACACACACATATACACACACATATACACGCACACATATACACACACAAGAACACACACCTAAAACCTCCACAAAACACACACACACAAGTAAACTATGAGCCAGGGTTGTTTTCAGGAGACTCTTGTGGATGTAAAATGACACAGTGGCAGGTTAGCAGGTGGTTAGAAGGTCCTGGGTTTGAATCCCGGTCAGAACAGGGTCTTTCTGGGTGGAGTTTGCATGTTCTCCCCGTGTCTGTGTAGGTTTCCTCTGGGTGCTCCGGTTTCCCATACTACTCACAATATTCTCATTAGGTCAAATCCTCCAGCTCTGGTCCTGACCAGAGCCTCAACATCTGGATCTGGTTCTGGGCGCTGTTGCTATGGCGACCACTGCTCCTGACGTGAGCCTTAGTAACATCTGGGTCAAATGCAGAAGATGACTTTCCCAACAACAAACTCACTGAGCCCCGTCTCCTGTCCATGTGTTCGCTTCTCCAAAAGTCCAGAACCCAGTTCACTGCAACAGAGGGATCAGAACCCAGACGTTCACTGCATCAGAGTGTGTGTAGGTGTGTGCGTGTGTGTGTGTGTAGGCGAGTGTGTGTGTGTGTGTGTGTGTGAGTGTGTGTGTGTGTGTATAACGAGTGTGTGTGTGTGTGTAGGCAAGTGTGTGTGAGTGTGTGTGTAGGTGAATGTGTGTGTGAGTGTGTGCAGGCGAGTGTGTGTGTGTGTGTGTGTGTAGGCGAGTGTGTGTGTGTGTGTGTAGGTGAGTGTGTGTGTGTGTGTGTGTGTAGGCGAGTGTGTGTGTGTGTGTGCAGGCGAGTGTGTGTGTGTGTGTGTGTAGGTGAGTGTGTGTGTAGGTGTGTGTGTGTGTGTGTATGTGTGTATAGGTGTGTGTGTGTGTGTGTAGGTGTGTGTGTGTGTAGACGAGTGTGTGTGTGTGTGTGTGTGTGTGTAGTGTGAGTGTGTGTGTAGGTGTGTGTGTGTGTGTGTGTATAGGTGTGTGTGTGTGTGTAGGTGAGTGTGTGTGTGTGTGTAGGTGTGTGTGTGTGTAGTGTGTGTGTGTGTGTGTGTGTGTGTGTGTGTGTGTGTGTGTGTTAGAGGTGTGTGTTTGTGTGTAGGTGTGTGTGTGTTTGTGCGACCGTGCGACAGATGGATGTGGTCCTGAAACACACACTCTGCTGATCCTGACGAGCTGCAGTGACCCAGAAGTGAGTTTGTTTTTGCTTGTTCTCCTTCCGCTCCTTAAGCCCACATCTGTAACGGGTCATCTCAGACTCACACGGACTCTACCTGGACAACCATCAGCAACCATCAACCACATCACAACCATCAACAACCATCAACCACATCTACAACCATCAGCAACCATCAACCACATCTACAACCATCAACCACATCTACAACCATCTACAACCATCAACCACATCTACAACCATCAGCAACCATCAACCACATCTACAACCATCAACCACATCTACAACCATCTACAACCATCAACCACATCTACAACCATCAACAACCATCAACCACATCTACAACCATCTACAACCATCAACCACATCTACAACCATCAACAACCATCAACCACATCTACAACCATCAACAACCATCAACCACATCACAACCATCAACCACATCACAACCATCAACAACCATCAACCACATCTACAACCATCAACCACATCACAACCATCAACAACCATCAACCACATCAAAACCATCTACAACCATCAACCACATCTACAACCATCAATCACATCTACAACCATCAATCACATCTAGAACCATCTACAACCATCAACCACATCTAGAACCATCTACAACCATCAACCACATCACAACCATCAACCACATCTACAACCATCTACAACCATCAACAACCATCAACCACATCCAGAACCATCAACCACATCACAACCATCTACAACCATCAAACATATCTACAACCATCAACAACCATCAACCACATCTACAACCATCAACCACATCTACAACCATCTACAACCATCAACCACATCTACAACCATCTACAACCATCAACCACATCTACAACCATCTACAACCATCAACCACATCTACAACCATCAACAACCATCAAGGTCAAGTTTATTTGTATAGCACATTTTAAAAACAGACAGGACTGTCACAAAGTGCTTACCAGACATTCTAAAAATACAACACACAAATAACATTCAGCATAAAATAAAATGCAGGACACCATCATAAATGTTTCAACAATGCTTGAGTTAAAAAGCCAAAGCAAAGAAATGTGTCTTTAGCTGCGATTTAAAACTCTCTACAGAGGGTTAGCTCTCCACAGAGGGTTAGCTCTCTACAGAGGGTTAGCTCTCTACAGAGGGTTAGCTCTCTACAGAGGGTTAGCTCTCCACAGAGGGTTAGCTCTCCACAGAGGGTTAGCTCTCTACAGAGGGTTAGCTCTCTACAGAGGGTTAGCTCTCTACAGAGGGTTAGCTCTCCACAGAGGGTTAGCTCTCTACAGAGGGTTAGCTCTCTACAGAGGAGGCAGCTCTGATGGAGTAAGGGAGAGCGTTCCAGAGTTTAGGCCCTGCCACAGCAAAGGCTCGGTCTCCTCTGGTCTTTAATCTAGACCTGGGACAGTGCAGAAGAAGCTGGTCAGAGGACCTCAGTGCTCTTCCTGGAGTGTGCAAAGTAAGCAAGTCAGTCAGATATGACGGAGCCAGGTCATGCAGAGATTTAAATACTAACAATAACATTTTAAAGGCACACCGTGTAACTCTTGGCCACTAGGGGCGCTAGACCTGCAACTTTCACGTTTAGCGCCCCTAGTGGCCACAAGCAACTCAGCACTGTCGCAAAAGTCAACAAACAGTCAGCCGGTGTCTTTTGAGTGTGTA